CAAACGAGGTGAGTAATTTATTTATTTATTTACGGGTTTCAAACCCATGACAAAATACGAGGGTGGTTCCTGAAGTACCCGGCCTGGCCTAGAGGCGGCGGTAGCTGTATTAGAAAGTACACAATCTATAAAGCATACGTTCAAGTTTGAAGACACTGCGTTCTTTAGTATTTGTTTGGCAGCCATCAATTGCGAACGTTTTCGGTGAATTTGTGAAAATGGCCACTTTTGAAATCCTATTTTATTTGCTGCTCTTTTAGGGAATAGACACGGCCAAAGAAGCTATTGTATAGCGAAACATGAGTTGCTTGAAAGAGTCGACCTTCAATTTTGGAACGGGCACACTTGCAGACTGGTTTCGGGCTCCTTAGCCACTCGTCAGTGCAAGATAGTGACCATCATCGACCTAAAGTCAATGATATTCCATAATTGAAAATCGAAATTCTTTCAGAGTATTTCATTCCTCGTCTTAAGTTGTCCATTCAACCTACTATGTAGGTATATCAGAGACGGGCTTGAACGTTTAAAGTTCATTTCTTTAGACATTATTTCTTATAAAATAAAATATTCAGTGTCCTTAACATCATATCTACAATTGAAATTAATATCTTAGTTATCACGAACTTGAAACTATCGCGCGGCAAAGTAAATTCAAGCGACCTGACGACACGCATGACAAAGAAAGGCTGCAATTGCGTTGGTTTTCTTTTACGTAGTATTTTTGTTTTGCTGTCTTGAGTAAATGGGTACTCATCTGTTTCAAAGTAAACATTATTATTAGTATTATAGTAATAGAGGCATTAACATTCACCCGAGAGTTGAAGAAGAATCTAAAGCCCTGGAAAAACACAAAAAAGATAACAACCTAAACAAGAGAATAAAGACAAAGATTTCCAACATTATTAGATTCTCGATCGTGACTGTGAGGATTGGAAATATGGAAGGTAAAAAATAAAACACTAAAGTAGCTATCCATAATTTATAATCCCCGATTCTCAAATATTCTACAATAAACTCTCATTTGGTTCCGCATTTAGATATTAAATACAATCTATTGATTTTCGGAATATCTCCCGAAACAATATTACATTGAATCTTAACAAAATCGACACCAAAATGAACTGAAATCCATTTCGTGTTCATAGTTATTCAATCTTTTTCAGATTCAGTTGGGCTCCGAAAGGTACAAAAACTGCAGAGGTTTCAGTCCCAAGAATTTTGGAAAACTTGAAAATATACTGGCGCGGGATAGAAAACTAACACAGAATTAGGTTTTAGATTTGTAGCACAAAACAACAATATGTGAGTGAACTTCTGTTACAAAAAGATCTATAGATCTGTGAGAACCAATTTTGCAATGAATGTATGAAGTAAATTATCCAACAGTACATTCATTATTTATATTCAGCTGAGGTAAGAACTTATATGAAATCCTAATAATCATTATTATCACAGGTAGTAGGTAATAACATACCTCAAGCGAGTTATATTAATTTTACAAACTACTCCGGAAATGATTTGATTTTCACAAACTTTATAATAAAAAATATCACATGTTTCGCAGTGAATAACATACTGCACATACTGCGACACGTGTCTTGCCATACAATAGCATATTCGAGCGTCAGTATTGGGACGCTCGAAGATGCCATTGTATAGAGAAACAAGTGGCGTGGTTTTGTAAACTTTCAAGTGGTTATCTCACATTGAAGTGTGTTTTTTGAATATGTTATAATGAATTTTCATGAAGTATTGATTTATCATATTTTTATTATGATTCATATAATTCCATTTGCCTGTAGGCGATTATTCATCACCCAATTTACCTATATATCAAAACAAAGGACCATTTTGCAAATGCAGTCAAAAATATTATATTACTTACACATTAGGGTTCAAAATCGATTAATTTTACAGAAAAAATTACAGTAATCATTTTATCTGATTTTTAATTTAAATTTATTGATTCTATTGAAAATTATGATCTCCCACAGAGCGAATTTGTATTACACGAATAAATAATCAAATGTTGATCAGTTATCAAAAATCATCTTTTACACAATTTAATTAATAACGAATTTGTATACATTATTCATTAATACTCTCCATGTACCCTTCTTCAAGTAGAGGAAGAAATCAATGAGTAACTCCAGTGAAAGAATTGACCTCATTGCTCATATAATCACCCATTGAAAATCATTCTTCATTGGAATAAAATATTTTTGTTGAATGCATTTCCATTGGTCAATCTGGTGGTACCATCTTGTCGCACACACTACATGAATTGTTTATAATTGCACTGAGTGCAACCTCAATGGAAAATTAATTTCAGTATGTAACTCAACAACACTATAACAGAAAATACAAGATAATATACTGGTTACTGAAATAAGGAATAATTTTTTATTTGATACTGACAGAAATATGAAAAACAAATAAACTCAAACATAATAAGAAACAATAAAATATATTCCATTGTTATGATATACATTCTGGTTTGAAACTGTATCCCAACGTTTTGCCAGCACGAGTGGCTGGCTTCTTCAGAGGTTTATTCATCTTGATGGTTCACCGATGACTGTCATCGGCGTCAACAGTTGTGATAATTTGTTTTATAAAAACATTCGCGAGAAAAATATTTGGTTGAAGGTGCATTTGAACCAACAACTTTTCGGCTGAGTCAGAATCACTTTAAAAGTGAATTCATTACACATAGACGAGTCAACTCGCTCATTCCTTCAAAGCTTCTGTTGTCTCTAGCTAGATGCTAATAAGTTTCATCATTTGGACAGGAAAGAAAAAATTTGAATATTTTTTTTTAAAAAATAACTTAAAGTAACAAGTCTTGCAAGTATTCCTCCATTTCTTCATCTCTTGATTTACTTTCGACAGGCTTATGCTTATCCCAAGGCGACTCTTCATTTAACAGTACTGATGTGTCCGAACTTTCTTCAATATCTCTTTCATCTTCCTCCTCTTTTTCACACAAAAGACTGTTACTACTGGTAGCAGAGCAATTATCTTCAAGAACATTTCCCTTGCTAGATTTGTTTTCCTTTGGAAGGATCCTTTTCTTCTTCAGGCGTTTGACTTCCCTCTTTTTACTTTGATAATTCAGTTTTTTTGAACACTTTGGACATAATCCTGTATACAACAACATCGTTCTACTTACTAACTTTTCATCCATTCATGTCTTTTTCGCATAAATATCTATCATACTTACTTAATTTGACGAGGGCATTCTTCTTTTCACCTTGCTCAACATAACCGAAATTAACTTCCCATGTTCGTAGTCCATCCTCTTCCGAGCATTTCTTATTTCCACAAATGAACTGCCCTTTGCCGCTTACAACTTCTTTCTCTACCCTCCACCTGAGCGCCACTTTGTTTTCTTTGTAGAACGTAAGGTCCGCGATGCAATATTCCTTGAAAAGCTTGTCATAATAGCGTCTAGCAAATTGCAGCTCCCAAGAGTCTGTTGAATCCTCTTCATCCCAAAGGAACTTATGATTATCTCTGATAACATGGTGATCATTTCTATCTTTGGAAGTGTCGCGTTTTAGCAATTTAGTATCTCCGGGTCGCTTCAAAATGTATTCGTTAATCAACAATTTGTGCATGTCGTAGGGATTCAGATATCGCATTTGATGTCGTAAAGATGTCATCTTCAGGATATAATTATTACAAATAAATTTTTAAAACAACTTTCCAAACATCAATAACCTATAGCATAACCTATAAATACGTTATGTCTTTTGCTTTTGACAAACGTTTACCAGTATTGCCAACACGATAAAGCTAATATGCGCGAGATTGAAGTAAAAAATTTCGTTTTTCGTATGTCTTCGGAAAATACTCGAATCCGATCAATGCCATGACTAATTGGTCCTGGTAGCCAAAGTAAATAATGATGAAACAGTGAGGAAGAAGATCAGAACAGATGTAAATAGGAAAATGCCTTAGGAATCGCCAACCTTAAGATCATTTTAAAAATGACTGCCACTCAAAACACAATCATTCCACTTGATAGTCTTCTCAATTGAATATTGAGTATAAGAATGGAAAATTATTACAATGAAATCATCAACCAAAACTGAAAAACAATACGATTTTCAACCACATATGAACATCAACAATAATGACGAATATACAAGGTAGCTAACTCAGACAAAATACATGTGCTGCAAATGACATTTACACATCATCTATGGAGATGTTAGCTGACACTAATGGCAAAGATACATAGTAGTCAACTTGGTTAGCGAAACGCGCGTCGAGAGACCATTATTTTTTGTTCTGGTGTTGGGAGTGTTTTCAATATATTCATTTACGCCAGAGATTTCAGTATGAACTATCAAACCAATTATGACCCTTTTGGTCGCCTCCTCCTCGGGAGACCTCTTGATTTTTTTTCACAAGCATTACGTGATTATCCGAACCACTCCAACATGGATACCCGCGTGAATGAAGAGGGCCCTCATTTTACATTTGATAAAACGTTCACTTCACATATAGGTATAGGTTATTTTTTGGCCGGAGAAGATAGCAATCTTCCCATGGTTATCGCTTGAGTTTTGTCCGAGTTCACTCGGATCTTCCAATCGAGGTACCAGCGCTCGAGGTCGTCCAATGTACGTTGCATGTAGACGACGCCGAGCTCCCGACCCATGGAAGATGAGAGGAGAGCCGTGTCATCGGCGTGCAGAGATATCTTCACACGCTCGGGCCTTGGAAGGTCACTGGTGTGAAGAGAATACAGCGTCTGAAAGAGCACAGCCCCCTGTGACACTCCAGCAAGGATCTTTCTGGTATCAGACAGAGAGCCCTCTACTCTAATCTGAAAAGTTATGTCTTTCAGGAAAGAGCCAATTCACCGGATCAGGCCCGGAGGCAGGTCGAATGCGTTTAGTTTGTGCAAAAGGCCTTCGTGCCAAACACGGTCGAAGTCCTTCGAGATGTCTAATAACACAATATGCACTTTCTTATTGTTGTTTAGCTCTTGGATGGTGTTTTCGATCAGCCTTAGAGCCTGTAACTCAGTGGAGTGTTCTCTCCTGGAGCCAAATTGTTCATCAGGCAGAACTTCTTCGTTGAGCCTTTGGAGAACAACTCTTTCATCTAGCTTAGGCGCCGACATGAGCAGACTGGTCGGGCGATAGTTCTGTGGGAACAGCGGGTTCTGACCCTGTTTTGGGATCATGGAATCTAAATCTATTTCGCAACCTCCACTATATATGAAAGCTGACTGGAACCAAAAGCAAGAAGAAAAAGAAGTCACAAGAAAGACAGAATATATCATGTTTCGTTTCTGACATGGTGGTGAACGGACGTGCCGATAGCGACCGTTCACAAAGAAGGTACGCGGACGCCATTGTTGGAGGTGGAACTCAGTTCTTGAGAGGAGAGCCGTGTCATCGGCGTGCAGAGATATCTTCACACGCTCGGGCCTTGGAAGGTCACTGGTGTGAAGAGAATACAGCGTCTGAAAGAACACAGCCCCCTGTGACACTCCAGCAAGGATCTTTTTGGTATCAGACAGAGAGCCCTCTACTCTAATCTGAAAAGTTATGTCTTTCAGGAAAGAGCCAATTCACCGGATCAGGCCCGGAGGCAAGTCGAATGCGTTTAGTTTGTGCAAAAGGCCTTCGTGCCAAACACGGTCGAAGTCCTTCGAGATGGTGTTTTCGATCAGCCTTAGAGCCTGTAACTCAGTGGAGTGTTCTCTCCTGAAGTTAAATTGTTCATCAGAACAGAACAACTCTTTCATCCAGCTTAGCCGCCGACATGAACAGACTGATCGGGCGATAGTTCTGTGGGAACAACGGGTTCAGACCCTGTTTTGGGATCATGGAATCTGAATCTATTTCGCAACCCCCACTACATATGAAAGCTGGCTGGAACCAAAAGCAAGAAGAAAAAGAAGTCACAAGAAAGACAGAATATATTTTAGGTTATGTTCCAATTTATGTGTCTGTACATTTGATCATATTGTGTTCAATTTTAGGAAAATAATCTATATAGAAAGTCCATTTGATACCGAAAACATCAAAATGGAATATATCGAAGACCACGCTACCAGCGGTCCAACTAAAGCTATGATGTAAGTTCAAAATCTGCATATTTTAGATGAAACCATGAAAATCGAAATTTTTCCTCAGATTATGTTGCCAATGTTCACAAGCAATCGAACCAAATCCAGCCAATATGTGCGTGAATTGTCTCCGTTCAAAAGTCGACATAACCCAAGATATTCCGAAACAGGCCACCCTTCATTTCTGTCGTGGATGTGAGAGATACCTTCATCCATCTGCAGAATGGGTACGTTGCCCATTAGAATCCAAAGAACTCCTGTCACTTTGCCTAAAAAAGCTCAAGGGTCTCAACAGAGTAAAACTCATCGGCGCATCGTTCGTATGGACTGAACCACATTCTAAAAGAATAAAGGTATGTCTTTGCTAATAAAAATTAGGGTGGGTTTGGAACGGACTACACAAAAATGATAAATTGAGCCTAGTTTTCACCTTATCATTCATGATTACAATGTTATCCATATTAGTATTGGAAAATAGTCTCAGAAATGTAAAATTAGAATATTAAAAACTGTAGAAATTTAAGTTTTTTTTGCTATTTTTGAAGGTGTTTGTGAATTTGGGTTTTTGGGCTGTTGTCCGTTGAATTTTTTCTCTGATGTTTCGTTGATGTTTTACAGAGGTCTGTGTTATTGCTACCATCTTCTTTATTTTTCACACAAGAAACAATTTAGACTCTTTTGATTTTTCAATGCACCACCTTTACAAAATGTACCGCTTTTCTGAATACATTTTCCTCTATAAAAAATATTTTTTGTCATAGCTGTCTTTTGGTATTTTGTTTTTATCTAATTATATTGATAGATTTGAGGTTGAAAATTTACCAGAAAAAACTGAAGCCACATAATTTTTAATAGAAAATGATGAATTTGTGAGGAAAGAAATATAAAGCAAGGTGAAACAATGTGTATAGGTGACATGGATGATAAATTCATGTGTATCCCACTTGTTTTTTTTTTTTGTGCAAAAAGGAGACCTTTTGACGTTAATGAGGACCATACTTTCTGATCAACATTTTAGTATCATGGTAATAGTTTGCAAGAAGTTATCCACAAAGGTGTTGATGAAAAAATGAAGGTAACTGTCTTAGCCTGAAACTTTGAAGCACACTAGGTGTTTGATGATTTTCCATGTAAGTGGAATTTTATATCAGTACTCTTTCATTACCTATATTGTATAGAGTTTCTGTGAATGATATCTGTTTCAATTTCATGACAAATGTTTGCAGCATTGACTGAATCAAAAATAGTGATTTTTTTTAATTCAATGTTCATATGTATGAGAGTAGTTATTTTGGATGGATTTTTTCTTCTAGTTTGATTCTCAAAAAAATAACTTTTTTTTTTATTTGAAAGTTCCGAACTTTTATTTATTTGGAAAAGCAGAAAGCTTTTATCCAAAAACTGATATCCCCTAAAAATCAAAGAGTGTAAACTTTCACCACCGGAGATAACTGTGTCAAAACTGTTTTCCAGGTTTGTTGAGCAAGACTTTATATTTGAGGTTCCTTAAATAACTGATAGACATCTAAGAAATTGAGTTAAGAGAAGAAATGCTTTAGTTGGGTTAGGTGTCCGGTTTTATTCCATTGATGGTGATCAAGGCTTCATTCCTATTAGTTGAATGAAATTACCTGATTTGGAGCAGTTAAGAGCAGGTTGCCAGAATTTATCAATGTTTATTTCCTCTTCCTTTTGGTTGGAACTGTTATCAGAAAACATCTGTTCTAAAAATGTTTCCGTTTCAATTTAAATTGAAGTTATTTTTGAATGTTGAAATAAAATATCCACAACATGCAGATTATTTGTCTTGTGACAATATATTTCAATTTGAATGATAATTTCTTGACACAAAGAAAAATTAAGATTTAAATGCTTTATTTATATGCAAACAGTTTTTTATCAAATAATAAGGGCAATACAGTGGAGTACTGGACTAATTTTATCAATTTCATTGTAGTCTATTTCTAATCCCTAAAATATGTTTTGTTGAGGAGTATTTTAATTTCATCAAGAGCAGTTACTACACTGATTTGGATTCCTTTCCCAAACTGAAACCTAATTGACTTTTTTCTTACCAGCTAAAACTGACAGTTCAGGGAGAGATAGCTGGAGGAGCTGTACTAGAGCAGGTTTTTGTTGTTGAATATACTGTTGCGCATCAGATGTGTAACGACTGTCACCGCTCAGAAGCACAAGACTTCTGGAGAGCATCCGTTCAAATCAGGCAAAAAGCTGAGAATAAAAAAGCGTTTTACTATCTGGAACAGCTTATTCTAAAACATAAGGTTCATGTTAATACTCTCGGCATCAAACCTGTTAACGGTAAGACACTACAAGAATTCAGACAACCCTGCTTCAGTATTGAATTTTCTTTGCAGGGGGTTTGGACTTTTATTTCACAACTGAAGGTTATGCCAGGAAAATGGTGGAATTTGTAGCTGCACATCTACCTTGCAAATACCAGCATTCAAAGAAATTGATTTCACACGATATTCACAGTAACGTTTATAATTATAAGTTCACTTATTGTGTAGATATAGTACCTATCTCAAAAGATAGTGTGGTTTGTCTCCCTAAAAAGTTAACTCAGCAACTAGGAGGAATTTCACCAATATGTTTGGTTTACCGAGTCACCAATTCGGTACATTTGTTGGACCCAACTACAGCGCAAAGTGAGTAATTTCCTTTAAAAATTATGATTTTCATCCAAATCTATCTGTAAAATACTTAAGCAAATTAAAGACGAATTAAAACAATTTCGACTTTAATCTTGACTTCAAAAACCTATGGTATTTATCAAACAACAAAGTGATAAACAATTAACTGATATAAGCAAATAATAACTGTCAAGTCAAGATTAAATTCGAAATTGTTTGAATTCGTCTTTAATTTGCTTATGTATTTTACATTGGTCCTTCGAGCCGGATCGAAGAACCAATGTAAAATACTTAAGCAAGATTGAATTGAAAATTGTTTGAATTCGTCTTTAAAATGCTCAAGTATTTTACAATACCATTACTTTATTTTGTGTTTTTTCTCAACGTGGATAGTGAGAATCATACCATTCAATTATTCCAGGTGACTGTGACATTCAACAAGACTCACTAGAAAGTTTGTTTTAATATTTTAGAAGAAATACAGTATTGCTCCAAAATCAGTAATTGATATTGAATTTTTATAGGGTGTTGATATGCTAGAGAACACCAGTTTTTTCAGTGTTATTATTTGTTCATTGATGGTAGGGTAGTATACATCTATTTAAATTTATTTATACTCTACATCTGTCAGAAACAAAAAGTTCTTCTAAAACACCTCTCAAAGAATTCTTATTGTGATCTGCTTATTATTTCTAGAAAACTTGACTGATTATTGGGAATTTTAGTCAAGAAAATCAAGAATTATTACCTTTTCATTATTATACTGAAAATGAAAACCTCAAATTAACAGCACCTAAAAGCTTTAATATAAAAAGTAATTTGTTACTGACAAGATCTAAAAGTTAATAAATGGATAGTCATTGAACTGAATAACCAAATTTGAAGAAGAATGCCTATATGGAACTATTACATTTCTATATAAATTGTAATTGTAGAAACCTTATGTGTTTTTCACGTCCTTTTGAATGATTCTTGAGAAAGATAGTGTGAATAAGAACAGTTATGAAAGTCAATCTAAAACTTTAAAAATTGCTTTCTTTTCGATACATGCATATTTACATCTTTTTCAAGGCTAAATTAGACAATTGGCGTCAAATATAAATCAAATCGAACAGAGCACATTACTGGACAGTCATATTATTTTTCAATTATTTGAATTATTTTCTTGAAAGTGTCTCAGAGAAAATGTGCATAATAGGTAAGCAAAATAGCAGAAGCTTGCTTTGAATGATTAATTTGTTCACTTTAATGTGGAGGAACTGATGAAACATTAGTAAAGGTAGAAAAGTTAAAAATAAAAAACGAAACTGCAGATGTTCTATTTTTAACTTTTTTCTTCTACTGTTTTTTATTAAGATCCTACACGTTATATTAAACGAATTGATCATAAGACATTTTGAAGATATTACATAATATTTGTCCAAATAATTGAAAATGGTATGGCTGCCCAGTAATGTGCTCTGGGTGAGTTGATTTTTAAAGTTTTGTGTTGTTTAATATATCACTATAATTATGGTTTTTAGCCTTGAAAAAGACGTAAATACACGTTGAAACATTGGTAGTTTTAAACATATTGGATTGACCTTCATTACTGTCCCTATTTCCACTCCCTCTCTCAAGAAGTGTTAAAACTTTCTACTGGAAAGATCATTCCACACATCAATGTCATGAATTTTAGACATTATAAATGTTCATCTATATTATTTAACTATTCACTACACGCTAGTGTTTATGACTGGTTTAATAGGTTCTATTTCAAGATTATAAATATGTTTTTTTGACTTTATCAAAATCGGTTTGTTTATAATGAAATGTTCCTCATTTAACACATTTTGTGCCCAAGTTTAGTAATTGTCAACATTTCAGTTGCTGAATTGAATGCGACAACATTCTGGCGTTACCCTTTTGGTTCCATTTGTAATCCCAAGCAGTTAATTGAATACATCGTTATGGACATTGAAGTGGTAATGAACAAATCACGAAAATGTTTCCCAGGCCAAGGGGCCATATCCCAAAACCATGTTTTAGCTGACATTTGGGTGGTGAAAGCTTCTGAGCTGGGCATAAACGAAAACACAATTCACACCAGGACTCATTTGGGGCATATACTGCAACCTGGGGACTCGGTATTAGGGTAAGGAAAAAAACATATATAGTTGTAATTCCTAGTTTGAATTCATTTTTTTCAGTTATAATTTGGAGGACAGTAATATAAATGACACCAACTTTGACGGCTTGGACAAGTCGAAAGTTCCTGACGTTCTATTAGTGAAAAAATCCTTCAAAGATAGGTGTTACCGAAAGAGACAGAGGATTTGGAAGCTGAAAAGACTAGCTGAAGAAGCATCTGCTTTTGATACTGACGCAAAGTGAGTTTCATTTTATTCAATAATTCTCTGAATGATCTGTCTCAAAACTAACATTCATTCTATAATTTCAGTGACTTTAACGAGTTCTTGGACGACCTCGAGGAAGATCCGGCTTTGAGGCAGAACATTAACATTTTTAAGGATAATTCTAAGCAGATTCCAGTAGATTCCTTTGACGATAATTACGATGAAATGGGACTAGGAGTATCTTTGGCAGAGATGCTCGATGATATGATCATTGAGGATGTAGAGATGGACGAAGTGCAACAAAGTTAATTTTGGCATTGTAAAAAATGTAATACAGAATTATTTTTGTTGAATTGGCTTTTTTTTAGTTGCTTGCAAGACATATCAACCAAGTACATCTTATAATGTTCAGGATTAGAAATAATCTATAATTTTTGGATAGCTGGATTTGGATTTTGCTATTAACAAAATTAGTAAAATGTTTTTTTGAATTTACTTTCATTTTTTATTATGTGTGGTGTTCGCCAAAAGGTACAAGTTTTTGAGAAAAACAAGTGTATTACTACTATGTACACGCCGCCTTCAGTGGGGTGTAAGGTCTTGATATCATTGTTCTGCAATGTTTATTCTCATAGTGCGGCAGTAACTTGCATTATTGAGTCCATGATTCAGCTACAATGCAGCTGATTAAAGTAATCTTTTCTAAAGTAACACGTTTGTTTCTGGTTTTCTATCTTATCACCACAAATGTTTTCTTTCGTTTTGATACTTTTGTGAGAATTATTAATTATCATAATTTCTATTTCATTAAAATGAACGCAAGTGATGATTTTAATCTGTCGTACCTGTACCTATACTTTTTTTTCAGCAAATGGTTCTGAACATACGATTACCAAATAATAGTGTAAAAAGTTTTTTTCGCAAGTTCGACAAAGTTAAATATAAGATAAAGAAAATAACTTTTGTCTAATTTCTACTAAGATTATTTTATTCTCAAATTTACTCAAGTAAACTTGAGAATGGTTTAATAAACCAAAACCGGCCGTAACAAATGAAAATCTTTGTAGAAAGTAATTACTTTATCCAATATTTGATATGAATTTCTACAAAATAAATACGTATTTTCACAAACTACATCGTAAACGGTGTAGTCTGTAGGTCATCAATCGAACATGTTTGACGAAGTTCACATGAAACTCATTTTTTGACACGCTATGTACCTTTTTTCGGCGAACATCACAAATTCTTTTAATTTTTTCACACCAGACTTGAGTTTTGATATCTGCAATATAATATTTTTGGGTTAATTGTGAACCAAAACGGTGAATCTCGGGGATTTATAATTAAAGGTGGGTAAGGCCGAAAAAAAAATAACTTGTCCTTTTATTATTTATAACAGTTGTTGAATCTCGCAGTTTCAGCTCCACACTGAAATAAGACATTTCGCTAACACAATTTTACATAAAGAAGTGAATGTTTGAATTACACAGACATTTGAATTCACAGAAAATTTCCTGCATATGCAATTGGCAATACAATTGAAAGAGTTGACCTTCAATTTTGTAACGGGCACACTTGCAGACCGGTTTCAGGCTCCTCAGCCACTCAGTGCAAGATAGTGACCATCATCGACCTAAAGTCAATGATATTCCAGAATTGAAAATCGGAATTCTTTCAGAGTNAAGTACTCTTTGATCATTCCCATATTGATTTCAATTCAAGAGCCACCGGTATACAGCTGTTTCAGCCTATTGGGCATCGTCAGTACCAGGCAGGCGGTCCTCGATTGAAGACAAAATGAGAAAAAACCAAGAAAGTACTTGATATAAATAGCTGCATAAATGCACCTATTTTCATGGAATTATTTTCCAGCAGCTTGACTGCATTAACCTTTCTAGATATATATAAAAAGAGTAACATTTATGTTCATGTTGATAATTATATTTGAACATATGTATGTATATATGTGTGTATATGTATGTATATTTATATTTGTTTCAAGTTTCAGTTCTGTGTGTGCTCTGTTCATACTTAGTTATATTGTAGTTAGTTTTTTGAATTATTATTTTTTCCCTGCTATGTATGTTTCATGGGAAAATACATTTTTATTATTTATTTATTATTTAAACTGCTTGAAATAAAAAGAGCCATATCATTACCATGAGCTATTCTGAAACATAATTATCTAACACTTACTGCTGATTTTTCCACTTTTGAGGCACTGTTTGCCCATTTCACCAATGCCAGTAGTCTGACAAATAACTGTCTTGTTCTTGTGGAAAAATTATAAATTTCTATCTTACGTTCCATATCCGTCTTTCGTGGTAACCTGACAACAAAACCATAATTTGTAAAGTTTTAAATTGCGAAATAACATATCAGGAACTTACAATTCAGCAAGGACAGTTAATTCGTGGTAAGTTCTCTGTACAATGAAGTCGATCAGCATCGCGAGAGACATCATTCCTCCTCTATTTCCTTCCTGAGGTCCTGCGAGGCTGGTTTGAGCTACAGCATTCGCGACTGGGGTTTGTAGCCCCTCGAGTGGAACAGGGGCCATTGTACATATACTCTCCGTTTCTCGAGTATCCCGAAAAGGTCTTCACTAAAAATAACTTAATTTTTTTTAAAAAACACCAATATGTGCATAATTGAATATTCTTCATGCAATTACTAAGAAAAACAGTATAGTTTCCAGTTGCAACTCCAAGACAAAATGTTTTGGAAAATACTTGACATGAAAATGTATCAGCTGTCAGCTGTCATTTCACAAATGGTTCACATTCACAACTTAGATTAGGTAAAATTTCATTGTCTAAGGTTCACAAATTAGATTAGGTAAAAGAGGGGATACATAACGCCAACCCACAGTATTTCTGTATAAAATACTGTGGCCAACCTCTGCGTACGAATCGAGTTTGTGACCTATTTTCGAGTGGTCGCCATATTGTTGGTGCTAAACATTGATCTTGGTGCTTGTTCGATTTTGTGCAATTATTGAGTGTATTTTGAACTATTTTGTGGGTGAATACTGTATAAACATGGTAAAGTGCTCATCTTACAATTGTAGTAGTAATAGCGAGAAAAAGGAAGCCGGTATATCATTTCACAGGTGAGAAAACATCAGTACATTTAGGAACAGTGGGCCAAACATTATCTGAAAATTGAAATTTTTAAACATGAAATTCTATTTTTAATTTTGTGATGTTACCTTATTTCAATCTTATTTTAAAATAAATATCACTGAAGTTTAATCCCAACACCAAACCGTTATTTTTCACACCTCGACACGTGTTTCAATAACCAAGTGATCATCTTCAAGAGGAAGATTAAACTGAGTTTAATCTTCCTTTTGATTAAACTGAGTTCAATCTTCCTCTTGAAGATGAACACTTAGTGATTGAAACACGTGAAGATTAAACTCAGTTTAATCTTCTATTTGAAGATGATCACCTGGTAATTGAAACACGTGTCGAGGTGTTAAAAATAACAGTTTGGTATTGGGACAGAATTCCAGTAATATGAATACTACACCATAGGTTCCAAACAGTACATCACAAGTACTTATTTTCAAACTTGAAATATTGACTTTCAATTTCAAAATTACAACTATGAACTCGAAATTACAACAAGAAGCTCTTACATTTGATTTGAAACGTAAAATAACCTTCAGTGGGCATACTTGAAGACTGGCTATAAATCAAATCATCTAAGAGAACAATTCGTTCAGGCCAGTCTCAACACCCTACACAATAGGTTAATGGACTGACACCTATCAGAAAACAACTACTTCCCTGGCTGATACCACGAAGGGCGTAGGATTATATTGCGGCAGTTGTATCGCCAACAGCATATGCAGGAATAACTCTGCATATGCTGTTGGCGATACAACTGCCGCAATAGATTTTCAATTATTGGAACACACTTGCAGACCGGTTTCGGGCTGTTTGGCCACTCGTCAGTGCAAGGTAGTGTATATCATCAACATAAAGTCGATGATTTCCGATAATTGAAAATCGAATTCCGTCAGAGT